CCAGAGCAACGGCCAATATGAACCGAAGTGTTGCGCTACAGCGCAGGGATCATTCCTGCTATTAGCGATCTGCGAGTTTAGTGCAAAAGCGTATGATCGCACCGGCAAGCCTGGTTCGTTCTAGCCTGGGTTTGCTTCTTGCTTACTAGGGTCTTGAATGATTTCTGTGCCATTTTGTCAGATTTGTGCAAAAGTAGCGTCGGATTCATCCGTAGTTCAGATGCTCTTTGAGCCGGTAGTTGTAGCACAAATAATTTGATAAGAGCAGATAACCGATGGCGGGATTTTGATAGGGTCGGTAGGGAGTCAGTTTTTGGGGGCTTTTTGACCTGTATTAGTACTATTTTATCGTGGAAATGAATTAACTGATTTTTTTGCTTACTATATTTTGACATTAAAATTGGTACTTTTACATGGGCGAAATTGAATCCTTGGCCTTTATCATGAGAGTGATGCTACCAACCACTATGCCATGCTGTTGCTTTTTCAAACTTTTACAGTCTGTAAGCAGGAACTAAGTGTCAGCGTAGTTTCATTTTGTAATCAGTTTCTTTGAGTCCCATTTTTTCGGTTCTTAATAAATTACTTTTTCACCTTTTTTTGTGCTGTACAAATACCGAATCATTGTTTTCCCTGAACAGATGTGTGCGCTAGCAATGGACAAAATAGCTGTTTTGATGGGCAAAGAAGTGCTCAGCATCGTTAAGGGGCGAGTCTCAACAGAACTTGATGCTAGGTTCGTACTTTCTCGAACACGCAATTATTTCTCTTTGTTTCGGAAAAAAAGTTGCTTGCTAGATAATTTTTAAATCACAGGATTGAAACTTGGCTAGTTTTTGTCAAAGAAAAACCCACAAAATATTTTTTTTCAGAAAATTGAAAAATTTAACTGAGGAACGAAAATATTCGTAGCTGTTAATATGCTTTCTATAAATGCAAAAATTATTGTGTAAAAAATACATATACTCTATGTTTTTCACAATGACATTTTCTTGGGAAATCTGTTACTTTGTGGTTTCGTTTCATACCACTGCAGCTGGCGATTTTTTCAGTTGTTCTGACCAATGCTGCATCGCCTGGTAGTGACCCTTTTGGCATTCTTGACGTTAGCTTCATCTTCTGAAGAGATACTAGTTCAGGGATGTTTTTGATAGAAGCACTTGGCAAGATTTAGACTTGTTCGAGATATTCTTTGTGTGTGTTGGACATACCGCGTCTCGAACGTTGTCACTTCTAGATTACGACGAAGTATTGTCTTAATTAATAGATTGTATGACTGTTTCTGTGAACCAGTTCTCTTAAATAGCCAATTGATGTTCTTCAGTGCTTTTTTTATAGTATAAATATACTATGATGAATGAAATTTTGCTACTATTATTAACTATGCCTTTCTTATTTTGCCTTTTCACTTTACAGATTGGCATTCGACAAGGAGGCACAAATTACAAAAGCCCTAGATATCATCAAGCTCTACAAGGAAGAAGGAATTGATAAGAACCGAGTTCTCATCAAAATACCTGCATGCTGGGAAGGAATTCAAGCGGCAAGGTAAATTAATGCATAAATATGCATTTTTTTCTTCTGATGATTTTAAGCAGCCATAGTCCCACACGTCATGACTGGTAGTGAATCAGCTGTCATTCGTCCTTATTCTGCCGAATCTACGAAACTCCATTTAGACGTGCAAATGGATCCTTCGGTTTTGACGTCACTGGATATTCGAAATCTTAGTACATGAATATATAATCATAATTTTTTATTTTAGCATTATAATCATTTTTTTATAATCATAATTCCTAGATGACTTTATTGTTTTTGAAGTCAACTTCACTGATTTCAGCGTACTCGAAAGTATGTATGGTATACATTGTAATATGACGCTGTTATTCAATTTTTATCAGGCTGCTGCATGTGCGGATGCCGGTGTAACATTAATTTCACCATTTGTGGGCCGCATCCGTGACTGGTACTTAAAAAATACGGATTCAAAGGATTTCACTCGGGACAATGATCCTGGTGTTCAGGTGGCTATTTTTTAGCTCACGCATTTAGAATGAGATTTTTCCGATAGAGTTTAATTCGTTTTCTGGATATTTTCTTTTACAAATGTACATATGTGACGTTTCTAGTGTTGCAGTTCATTTTTTGCTATTTTTAACTATGCTTTTCTCTTTTAATTGTTGGCTTCTGATGCGAAACGTGATCACTGACGAAAGTGAAAGAGCGAACGCTGGCTGTGACGGAGAGAGAGAGCAATGGAACGAAGATTGCTTGACGTGTCTACTCGCGACCGTGCAGACAGTCAGAGTGTGTCAGATGAATGACGTGCAGAGCGATGTCATCGCGACTACAATCTGACTGGGAAAAACATGCTGCCCGCTTTGTTAATAACCGATTGATTTCCGTCGAGGAAGTAATTGATCACTTAAAAACAGTTTCCGATGAGATGGTACACAAACATCGGATAAGTATATAGTATCGAAAGGCCTAGCATAGGTGTGACATTACATGCATGGGTTGCCTGTGCCATTTGTTCGATCGATCCTAATGTATTTGAATAATTTTTTGCCATTACATGCTACTATACTTGCATTACATCGTTTTTTTTTTTTTCAGAGTGTGCGCAAAATTTATAATTTTTATAAGAAATACAGTATTAAAACGGAAATAATGGCTGCATCGTTTCGA